ACAAGAACAATTTTAGTGTTCCTTCATTTTGGTTGCGAAATTCTAGTTTATGCTATTTTAAATGAAGAATATTATATCATTTTAATGATATTGGTGCGAATCTCTGTTTGTCTGTTATAAATTAATCGCTTGATTGTAACGTTGTCTGTTCTTATTAGCGATAACTTAAAAATTTACAAATGGTTTACCATAGTGAGTATCAGTTCTATTACAATTGCTATCCCAAAACTTTAACATTTGTTTGGTCATAAAAAATATATTGTGCCATTATTCTCAATTAATATGGATGATATTGCATGAGTCGGAAGCTATCCTATAATTTTATTAAATAACCTTTATTTACGAAATGTTCAAAATACAGTGCTATTATTTAACATGAACTATATAGAGCTGTATATTGTAGTGGCTGTTATCGAGTACCTTTGAAAATCATTCGTTGGCACCTGTGCGAAAGTACTTTTATTTTAAAAATTTTTCTTGTATTTAAGATTTCCAATTAGAAAAAAATCTCAAAATAAATATCGAAAAATAATTATGAAATGGCATAGAATTTTTTAAACTCATTATAAAAATTTAGCAAAGTCCTTATTTTACATACTTACAGTTTAGAAAAGCTCTTATTTTACAGTTTACACATTCTATAGGCCATATCACTAGAATTATAATTAAGAAATATAAGAAGATGTAATATTTAAAATGCGGACTACGTTTTGGAGATTCGCCTTTCTTATTAAAATACATTTTAATTTTGTTAAAAAGCATTGAATTGAATAAACAGTCGAATACTATAGATTTACAAATGTACATACATACTTATATGCAAGATATATAGGATTTGTACATAATCATGCTAAGCAATGAACATGACTTAAATTTTTATTTAAAAACCTGCGTTGATATTTTTTTGCAGAAATTTAAAATATGACTAATTATAGCAAATGGCAACTGGAAAAAAGAAAATTAGTTGATCTCATTAATTGTCAAGTGGTTGAAGGTTACTTAGCAACTGCCAAAATTTGGATCTTATTTAAAATATTTTTAAATTTAAAAATGCATACAATAACAATACACAAAATATAATATTTTGTTAAATTTTTAAACAATAATTATTTATTTAAATTTTTTGATTCCCACTTTCATGTGGTTAAGCTTGATGTCGATATTTTATAGTGGCAGAGTGACAGAGACAACAATGTGAAGTAAAAATAACTAGTAACCGGATTTTTTTTTTTTCGTTTCATTCTTATTTTATTTGGCGACAATTTAATTGTTTCAATGCAAAAATAATATTTTCTTTTGCGTTTATTTATTTATTATATTTGAAAAAATTTAATTTATAACCAAAAAAAAAAAAAATTTTTTTTTCTCAGTAAATTTATTCATAAACTTGGACGTGGGTGCACTTTTTTTCTCTGTTCAATTTTTGTGTCTCATATATTTTTTTTGATCTTTATTTGTTTTACTTTAAATATTTTATAAATATTTTTTATAATAATAAGGAAAAAAAACACAATTACATAGAGTGAAAATCTTCTTTTCCTCTATGGTTACGATTTTAAAAATTTATTTTGTAAATTTTTACAATAATTTCATTAAAACAAAACATTTAAGAATGGATGATCAATCACATCAACCTCAATTACTATAAAATTCAATAACCATTAGCGGTGGTCCTTTTATGCTTGTGCGTTTTATTTAATGGCATATAAAATTTCAAAAATATTTCGCTTTATAACTACACACACACAATGTAGTCAAAGTAAAACAATAGCTTTTTGGGCAAGAATCAAAAGTGTTTCGATTCATATAATTGGTTTTAAATCAAGCATTTTAAGATTACAATTTTTTTATATTATTTTTCGAATTTGACATTAATTTTTACGAGTATCTTGGCATTTGTTTATTTGACATGAATTTTTGTTTCAAATAATTATTTTTACTTTTTTCTCGTGCAGAATTGTTCTGTTGAACTTTCTTTGCTCGAAGCGACCATATTGCTGAATTACGTCAAATTTTGCTTTCAGTAACTCAAATTCTAATTACATATATATTGAAATATGAAAAACATGAAGAATTCGTTCTTCCAATTTCACCCTAATATCTACTGCAATTTTCTTATGTAAACTGTTGTAAATTGACGGAATGACAAACTTTTAAGTGAATAATATTGGTAATTCTAAAGAGATTGCACACACGCCTCTTTTAATTTAAGGAGTGGACCGGATTTTCTGAAACACTTTTCCGAAATATAGAGACGAGTTCCGAAAAATCTAATTGGTCTGGGCCCAAAATACTGTATTTTCACAAGGATTTATTTAAAGTTTATAAGTTTAAAACTTTAAATAAATCCTTGTCCAAAACTTAAGTCCAAAACTTTATCGACACGGGACTAATATTATTAATGGTATTGTAAGGGGTTTCAATTTCAACATGTCACATATTTTTTCAGTTACATACATACATTTGTATATTTATATTTATTTAAAGTCGATGGAATAAGTTAACTTGAATATAAAATTAATATTACATCACACATATGACGCGTTATAGCTTAAAATGCCAACTCTTTGCCACAATTTTAAAAATTATATCACCTTGCTTCTTACAATAATAATGAATACACATAATTCTCGCTATATCTACTATATAATACTCGTATATATGCTATTTTAATATTGTTGAAGTATTTATGTATGTATGTATGCACGTGTTTCTAAGAGAAAATTTATGAATGGAAGATTTAATTTTCTGAAAAATACTACATAATTTCTTTTAATATTCGCTATTTAAAATTTGATTTAATTTTCTTCTGTTTTTATTTTTTAAATTTATTTTTATAATTTTTAAAAATAAATTCAAATAATAAAATAATTGTGTTAGTAAGGTGAAGAAATGAAAAGTGTGAAACAATAATAAAAATGATGGAAAATATGTGTAACGTAACAGCAAAATCACATAGGTAAACTTTATAATATTAAAGGTTAAAAATAATTTTAATTTTGTAGAGAAATAAAAAATAGGCAATTTTTTTAATATTTTCCAAAAAATAAAATTTGTTAATTTGATGGTAGCACTTCATTTGTGATTATTTCGTGAGAAAGCTGGAATAAAGTGTTAGCGTGTATTTGAAAATTGACATAGAAAACTTGTTGCTAACAGCAATGGGAAATACTTAAATACTTTGTAATTTTTTTAAATAATTAATGAATACTTTAAATACTTTGCATTTAAAGTATTCATTAATTATTTAAAAATGCGATTAAAATCATCGAATAGGCGCCTAAATAGCAGCACATTTAAATTGTATTTAACCCTAATTATTCCAAAAACAAAAAGAAATTCTAAAATCCAATTTTTTCAATTATGCACGTTCCTAAAATTTGACATATTTAATTATAAATATCTTTATTTTTTAATTTTTAGTTCCTTTGTGTTCTTTCTGCCTAAGATTAACCTTCGTTCACATTTAAAAACATATAAAGTAGATTATAAATATGTTAAACACACCTCATTTCTAATTTCTATTTATAAACTTCAATCAAGAATATTGGTGTATCTATGTATTTAAATTGTTCAAAATAAGCGCCACAATATGAAAACAAAAACGATCGAAATTTAAGAAATTTTAAATCTTTTATCTTAAAATCTTTTTGTCGCCACTCTTTTATTAATTATCAATATAATTGCGCAAATTATAGCCCCTTAAATAAGTGTGTCAAATATCTGTCATCACCAAAATTTTAATTACTATTTAATAAAATAAAAAAAAATATTTTTCTTAAATATTTTTTACATTAATGAAATTCAAATTCCTTTATTTTAGTTGAAAGTTACAAATTTACTGGATTTTTGTAAATTTGAGTGAAGACGTGTGATATGCACGATCTGAATTTTTGAATATCCTTATAACTTGATATTGTACGAGCCCTATGTCTTTGAAATTCGTACAATATTAAATTTGGTAGTAAAAACTTTAAAAAAAAAATTGAATTCTTTAGATTAATTCATACGAAGCTGAACACTCTAATGTGTTGACATTTTACGTGCAAAGAAAATTTAATCTGTTCAGTTTTTATATTGACAGTATGCGGCATTTAATTTATCACCTTACAAAAAAAAGAAAATAACAATTTCGGTAATAAAAATCCTATTTCACGTTTGGTTACTACATAGTGCTAGAAAGATGGAAAAATGAAAAGAAAAATTATAATTTCGGTTTTTGAAAGAAAAATTAAAATAAGGAATAAATTACCTATTCGCACCGGGGTCTTGTCGGGTCAATGAAGACCTCAATCGGCTGTGCTGGAAAGTGGGGGTACACTTGCAGATTTTATTGGGAGAATGGGGGGACTTCGGTCTATCTTCTGGTGGAGTGTAATGCCCTTGTTCATAGGAGGAGGGAGGAGGGGGCGCTTTGTTCTCACGTCGGCGAAGTGTCGGTCATTCGGGCTTCACAAGTTGCTTGAACTCATCAGGAGGGTGGGTCTCGAGCATGTGTTGTAGACGCACAATCAATCCTTATAAGTGGTCGCGGTGCACTGTTGCCCCCGTTGTACAAATCTGCAAAGGAAAGGACCGGTGTCATAACCACTTCATTGGTCGGATATTTGTAAGATTAATGCATATTTACTATAAAATTTATTAGAAAACCAAAGTTTAAGGTAGACTTAAGACAACTTCATATTTCTTTAATAATTTTTTTTGTGCAACGATTCGTTTGAAATGAAAATATTCTTCCTTCTTTTCTTATTAAATCTCTGTTTAAACATTCTCTATTAATTTGAAGTTTTCTTTTATTTTATTTTTAATTATTTTAATTATAGCTTTGGTTTTGTAAATCATAAATTTTAACTAATTTTAAAATTCAATAAAATCTGTTATACATATGTGCATATTTTCTTATTTTTTTTTTATTCTTTTTTGGAATAAAATATGTAATTGCAAATCTCTTCCTAGAATCTTTGATTTAAATATTGTACTTTTTAAAAATCTTTTTACAGTTTACAAGTTTTGCTTGAGTTCTGTGTTGTTATAAGCTAAAATCTTTAAAGAACATCTTGTTGTATAACAAAAACAACAAAATAATTGCAGCTTTTGAAATAACATTTTGAAATCAAATTGTATTGCAGTATTTTATATGAAAGGAAAATATGATAAATGTAAGTTTAATCCTTATATTTGCTAAATAATTATTTATTTTGGTGGAAGATTCTTAAGTTTAAATTCTTAAAACATAAAAGAAAATAATTTTTTTTGAGTAAAATAATTTAATATTTGCATACTTATCTTCTAATTTATCTATTTGTGAATGAATTTTATCGAATTTTACTAGAATATTTTAACTTAGCCGGGCATTTGTGATCCATGTTTGTTATATTCTTATCGAAAATGAGCCAGAAATATTTTTGAATTTTAGCGAGTTTTTAGATTGAGTAAATCAAATATTTAAATTATTTTATGTTGTAAGTTAGCAATTTTAAATAATATGTCATTGATATTGAACTCGTGTTATAAATTATTTGACCTGGACCTTTATGCTATTAAGTTAGTGTTTCATTATTTTAATACAGCACTGTATTTATTATAAAATTAAATAAATTAAACTTTTTAACGTAGTTTACGTTAAAATTTTTACGTCGTACCTACAAACGAAATTCGTTAGATTTTATTTAAAGAATTTTATTATAGCGTGAAAGCAGTTTGATTTTATGATGAAAAATTTTTATATTAATTAAAATATTGATAAAATTAATTTATTTTTAAATTTAGGTTAAATTTTTTGAGCGAATTTCAAAGATGACATATAGCGTTTTATTTGTCCGTTATGTAATTTTTGAAATGTTTTTGAAATGTTCAAATATGCACTTTTGTGAAACGTACGGCCCAATAAATATACGCTTCTATTTTTAAAACTCCTCATGTGATCAGCACATAAGCAACCGCAAAATATATTGTCTAGTTTAGAAAAGTATTATACTGCCCGCCCTTTAATATTGCCAAAACCTTGAGTTTGTATAATAAATTCCAAGGAAATTTGTTCCAATACTAAATTGTGATCAAACATTCACCATTTGATTTTCAGTTAATCGAATAATAATAAATTCGTATCAAATTATTGTTTTATATAGAAGCATTTTTAAGGTTCTGTGAAATAGCACTTAAGAAATGAAAAGTGGAAATGGTTTTGAACGGCCACCTTGTCATTTCAATGTTTAACTTTGCTTTTCCACCATGGAAGAAATAATGTCGCTTTTTCGCATTTGTTTTTTGATGTGGTTTTGATAAAATTGAAAGTTAAAAAATAGCATTTTGGTGACTTTAAGAGGCTATAACTTTTAGAGATAGGTGAAAATTTTCTTCCAGAGCAATAATTTTCTAGTATTTATTTAAAATTTTGTAACAAATTGGCGTATTATTTTAAATGAAGCTTTTTAAACAGACACACGGACAGACGAACGGGCAGAGAAAAAATAAGCACGTTTTTCATAATTTTTCTTGGAAAAGTTCGAAAGCGTTATGGGTAATTTTATATTGATTTAGACTTATTTCCGCTAGATGCATTATAATGTTCACGTGTATGCATCGATTGGCCTCATATTAAAGCATTTTTATCACATTACACTTAAATTGATTCATTAAAAAAGTCATTACTCATAAAATCGTAACCAAGAAGTCATAAATATGAAACAGATGAATGTATAACTAAAAAAATAGTATTATAATAATAACAAGAACAAAAACAACAGCAAATTATAATAAAAAAATCAAAAATATTTAAAATTCATAATAAATTTTCTTTTAATAATTTTTAGCATTCTAATTTCCGTTTCTCTTATTTTAATGTTAATTGTTTTTTTCAATTAGAAACTTTTCTCGATTCTTAAACTACAATTGTACAAACACGTTTATTTTGGAAATATAAACACATATACGAATTATGTGTGTATTTATTTAGTGTCGACTTACATACATATACGTGTAGTAATCTAGTGAGTGTAAAACAGAAGAGTTGCACTTTGAAGAAATGCAGTTTTTTCACATATTTTGAGGGAGATATGCGCTAGTGCAAATGTATCATAAATTGCCGAGAAGAAAATTTATTTTTCGTTTCTCCTCTTGTGCTATAGACTGTAAAATATTTCATCAAACAGGTATTTATCATTGGACAGGCGCCAATTTTATGTATTTATCGTATAATTTCACTTTTGATTCTTTTTTGTGTTTTGATGTTTTTTAATTTAAATTTTTTATTTAATTATTAAGAATTTTTGTAATACCAGGTACACATACATACATATTAAAAAAACTCTTTAGGTTCGTGATGATTTGTTGTTCCTTTTGTGTGCTCATCTAGAAAATATTCAAAAAATATGTAAGAATTAAAATATGAAAATATTTTGTTCTTCAAGAAAAACGTTGATAAATTTTCATCACTTCTTTATTACTAAAAGCAAAATTATTTCTGTTAATAAGTAACTAGAAACTCTAGATATAGGGTGCTTATTTTTTGGGGGAAACGTGTTTCTAATACCTATTATTTTATAATTTTTTCATGTTATGAATACAGTATAAGAAATTTCATTCCAGATAATCTAAACCTGATGACTTAGAGAAAAGGGTGTTTGATGATATTAAGTCAGAAAATGTCCAAATTACAGTTTTATAAATTATGTTCTGCGATTTTTAGGAAAATCGACTCTGAATGTTTCAAGAAAAATTTTAAAAAATATGCATGCGAGATACAAAAGAAAAAAATATCTCAAATATCACTATAACTTCTGTACATGAACATTCTTTTGAATCGATCCTACTTAATCTAAGGCCTTTTAAAGAGTATTGAGAGACTTAAAAAAACAATTTACAAAATATGGTAATACCACCATCTGAGCAAGGATGAAAACTGAAAAGTGTCAAATATATAATAATGTGAAATATTGTCGAAAAGATATTGAAGAACTCTTCAAGTTAATAAGTTCATAAACTTCAAATAATTAGTTCACTAAGGTTCTAGACTGAGGTTCTGAGAAAAATTTTGCAAAATCGATTATGATGATGCGGTCATTCTTTTGTTTTTTTTATTTACTATATATGTATAAAGGCTTATATTTTGTGAACTTTCCAATTGTTTCCGGGAAATTATAAATGTTTTGAAATTTCTACAGAATTAAACTGAATTTACTTCATAAAAGAAGAAGTGAGTACAAATTATTTATGTTTTCTCTCTGATAACAGATATTTGCTTTTTATAAATTCCAAAATTTGAGACTTGGTCAAATTAATTCAAAAGGCACTTTATTTATCATAAATACCTGATATTCCAAATATTGTTCTGAACCGAACTTCAAACACATTATATAACAATAGTTCAGTTATGCATTCAAGCTTTTGTTTCTAAACTATTTATGGCAACTCTTTATCAATCAATCAACACTCTCAGCTTATGACAACTCTATATCAATCAATCAACATTAATTGCCACCGAGAGTTGTTTAGAAAATTTTATTTCTGAGATTTCTTTAATTATTGTACTCAAAATATAAAACACTTGCACTTACACTCACATGTGTATATATATTATAAATATACATTTATTTATTTATTTGTGTTTTGAGGTGCGGTAATTATGTGCATGTGGTATTGTGACAAATTAATGGTGTTAGGAAATTAAATGAAATTGACAATTTTATTTTCATATTTCGGGTTTTGTTTTATTATTATTAATATTTTTTTTGTATAACATTTTAAGAACCGATAATTAAGTTATTACAATCATTATTATTTTATAACATGTGAAATTAAATTTTTAATTAATCAATTAAAAAAACATATTTATATACTTGGAATAATTATTTTTTTAATATGTGTAAATTACGCACACATTAATTATTTTTGTTAATGCACATGTATGTATGAACTTGTGACATTTTAATATTGTGGGGATTACGAGAAAATAAATAGTTTCAATGAAAGTGTCAATAAATTTTAACATAATTTGTAGAAATGTACAAAAAAATATAGCTCGGTTATGTAAAATAAAAGAAAAATAGTATTTTTTTAAACACTTGGCTGTTATGAAGTATTAAAGACTACATAATTCGGAATTCAGAGTTACGAAAAAAATGCTTTTACTGTGAATTTGATCCTAATTTTTTTAATCTATACGAAGTCTTGCAGTTTTATGATTGAAATTAATCTGATTTTTAAATGAGAATTTATAATATCTTTTCCCACTTTATTATTGCTTAATTTAATAAAAAAAAACAAAACTAATGTGTCCCATAATTGATCGTGTTCAGAGTCATTTACAGAAAGAGTTCCACGAAAGTAGAAAATGAATTAATTTGGCATACATTCTTAATTGACTTTAAAAGTTTAAGAACATTCAAGCCTAGAATCTAGAACTTACCTTCCAAAGAAGAAGAATTTACCCCTATAATAAGGGATTCTTATTAAGATCAGCTTTCCATTTTGTTTATTCATTTTCTATGAACCAGTTGACTTTGATTGCATCAATAGTTCCAAAATTCAAAAAAGCATTTTTTGACTGTAAATAATATCGACGATATTTAAGAGCAAAAAGTTGTTTTTCAAAAAAGCTTAAAATTTAGTAATATTTAAAAGATTTAATTTGCTTATGGTTGAGTTGGAAAAATGTTATTGAAAAGTTACTCTGCTCTTATACCAAAAAAATTTTTCCACGAAAGAAAAAGAAATTCACAGCAGCTTTTTTTACTATAGTCAAAACTAATATTAAAGTTACGATTCTTTGGAAATTACAATTTTTTTCACTTTGTTTATTTTTGGAAAACAAATTTAACTAATAACCATTTTTTTTTTAATTTTCAGGTAAGTAAAGGAAGACGAAACAAATGCAAGAGCCAGTAAGTACATAAACACATATTTTTTAAATAGCAAAGTTTAATATTTGAATTTATTTAAATTTTTTGCTAAAAAAGAGAAAGTTAAGAGGCAAATAATTAATGCAATTCAAGAATTTTAAAAAAGGTTTTCTCTATCTTCCCGCAAATGTTTGGAAGTTGAAAGAAATGTTGTTATGCTTTGAAATTTATTCAAAGTACTTGAATTCAGCAAGTTTCTTTGATACAAAAGTACTATAACTTAATTTCATATGTTCAACAAAATAGCGAAAAAGAGCTAA